GCTTAGTAACTAATCTGCGATTGCAAATCAAGTCTTTTTAAGGTAGGTGGTGTTGTAGTAAATTGTCGGCAACTTAGCGACACAATTTGCTTGCAAATAAAGTCCTTTCAGGTATAGTTTTGTTGTTAGGTTAGCTGTTGTTAGCTTAGCAACATGCTAATCTAAAATAAATTTGTGATCACTAATCATGTTTTAATGTAGGCTGCTTTCTAGCAGTGAATTTTGTTGTTAGCTTAGCAACATGCTGTGGTAACTGCTAATTTGTGATTATTAATTAAGTCACTTTTCAGGTAGGTAGTCGGGTAAGTGGACAGCATGTTTTTAGAACAGAGCTATTGTTATCTGTTTTTGCCAGACCTAGCAAACTTAGCCACAGGTTTTACTTCTGACCTTAGCTTGTCTTTCAAACATAATCCTGCCTGATACACACATAAAGGGTTGAAAGAGGTTTTAGAACAGGCCCTGTTGCACTGTGGGAATTTCAGGATGTGAGGAAAGTTCAGGCTGAAGAGCAGATCCAAAGGTCACTATTGCCTGACACACACAACACACGGTTTCTGTCTCCAAAACAAGCTAAAAGCTCAGTCTCACACTGTTCCAAATGAAGGGATTAAAATTAGATCAACACTGCACGTCATTAGAAATCCTGCAGTATAGGTGGAAGCAATGGACATGGAAAGGAATAAATGTGTTTTATTACTAGCATTAGAATTTCTAAGACAGTCAGCATTTAGATTCCCGCTCTCTTTGCTAAAAGGTACTCAATTTAAAACAGCTTTTTTAGCCAAATTACACATTTTTTTAAAGTACTCAACTGCCAAGTTAGAAATAAAGAGTAGTTTGTATTTCAAGGTAGGATGAATGTGAAAATAAATTTAGTGGGTCATTAAAGATTGTAGGCATTAAATATATAACACTAGCTACATAAAATGCAATGTACTGGATGTAAATCAAAGCAAAAACTTTAATCACTTTACTAATTGACAAGGCAAACTATGCCAAAAATCAAATTTTAATGTGATTAAAACAATACTCTGATTAAGCGTCTAGCATGTGAATAGTGATTTTTAAAATATATATTTTTTTAATTTTAGATTTTTGTTGCATTATTGAAATGCAGTACAGACATGTAAAAACCGCAATCAAACTAATACTATTGTGTAGGATTTTCAACACATTTTGTGACAGGATAGTCTATCCACACACGGCTGTTTGGGCTATTCCCTACACCTACCGAGTCAGTGAAGGACCACAGACACCCACTTCACAAAATGTTTTTCTCCCATACGGTGTGCTCAAACTACTCAAACTACACCCTTCCAGCAGTTCATAATCGCATCCAATATCTTGTTTGTCACGAGGGCATGAATAAAAAGTTCCCGAATTAAAGTGATAGTTCCAAACTGCAGTTAAAGTCGACAAATTAAAAATGAAACCGCAAAAATTATTATGAAATTATAATTTGAACATGAATTTGATTATGAAAGGAACATTAAAAAAGCAACTGATGTAAGACAGTGTTTTAGGTCTGTTGCTTTTTTAATATACATTAATGATTTGAAAATGGTTTGTTCAAATAAACTTTTGTTATATGCAGATGATGCAGCAATCATAGTGTCTCATGAGAGGAGGGAATTTATTGAAAATTAAAAGTTAAAAGTAAACAAATTGAGGAAGTCTTTTAATGGTTTTGCCTTAATAAATTGTCCTTACATTTAGCTAAAACTGAATTTATTTTATTTGGTTCAGCTGTGAAACTAAGAAAATGTGTCAGGTCAGAGATAAAAGTTGAGGATCAAATCATCACTTCAAAACATAAAGTGTAATATTTAGGTTGCAGTTTAGATAGTAATTTGACAGGCAAAAAGATGGCTGTTATAGTCCATTTAAAAATTTGTTCCGAAACTAAGTTTTCAACAAGACAGGCAAAGCTCCTAGATACCCAAGCTTTAAAAATATTAGCTAGTGAACGTTGTGGCAAATTTGGAATGCCAAAAGGCCCCTGTTAAGTAATTTCAAGCTTTCTGAATTAAAGGGACATAAGGTTTAACCCTGTAAACCAGTTTGATAGAGTACAACTAAGTCATAACCATGTCATTATACAAGTTTGTGTCCCTCAACCACATAAACCTTTACACACATACACACACACACACACACACACACACACACAAACACACACACAAACACACACACACTCACACACACACACAAATAAAAATAATAAGGTGGTTACTAATAATGTGGTAACTTCAACCCTTCATTTGCCACAGGTTTGTTGAAAATGCTGCCAATGACTAACTCTAGCTATTTTTCTCACCACGATAATGGCCATATTGACGGTGGGTCAAGGGTTCTAACTAAAAATGAGCACTTCCATGAGGTCTGTTAGTGAGTAGAGAAAGCAGAAAGGACAATGGTGGGACCTCGTAATGGGGCATTGAGCAACTTGCCTGTCCTTAAACAGGTGGCTCTCAGTGTGATGCTCTCCGGCCCACACCAAACACGACTCGTGACTCACCGATCCCATATTAAAACTGCTCCAGCTGGTCCACATGTCCATTTGTGCAGGCTCTCAAGACATGCAGTGCATGCGAGCCTATGCAGCAACGCCTGGCACTGACAACTCTGCCCACGCCGTTAGTCACAATCAACAGCCGAACTGTTAACAATGAGCATTTTGTAATAAGTTACGGCCACTCATAAGCCAGTGTGACTGCGCTAACAAATGGACGAGAAATCAGCGCTTATGTGTGCATGCGAGCAGAGCTGGAAAGATAAAAAGTTTAATTACAATTATAATTAAGAGGACTATTGATACTGATACTATGGTGGCAGGTGGCAAGGCAGCATTACAAGCCTGTGCCCTACTTAATAATAGGGTGGGTTGGCACACAGATGGACTGGCATGCTGTCAGGTAGCTTCTCTATTACTCCAGTAGAACACTGACTGATTTGTGCAGCATAAATCCACTCAGGCATTAAAAGTCCACCAATTAGCGCAGATCCATTAACATGAGCAATGACGAGTTGGAGAGAAATCAGGTTGACGGCTCCAAAAAAAATCTGCATTTCAAATGTCACTTAAGAAAAAGAAAATTCCCTCAACGTGACTTCCCAAGCATATCCAAGACTGAACTGCCAAAGTAGTCTGGAAAAAATATATAAAATCTCTAAAATTAGATTCAAAGAGTCAATAATAAATGAGCTGTTCTGCTCGGATCAGATTTGTTTTCTAAACAATGCTTAGAAAACAATGTCACAGTAATGAATAGGAAAGGGACACACTGATATTTCATTTATGTCTGATACAAATAGACTGATCATTTAAATAAACAATGTTGTACAAATATTAGGTTGACTGTTTGTTGTTGTTGTTGTTTTGATGAGATATTTCAATTTCACAAAGAAAGGTGTAGCTCTTTGTCTGATAAATAATAAAAGAACACATACTGATTTTTAATTAGTCTGAGTTTTGCCAGTATTGTGAATCGGGTTGCAATACATAACAGTGTAGAGTACAAAAAAAGTAAACAGTTGAAGTCAGAATTATTAGCCCCCTACTAAAAAAAACAGCTTAAACACCCTAGGCTGGTTGGCTGGTTTCAGCTGGTCGACCAGCCTGGTTTTAGACGGGTTTTAGCCATTTCCAGGCTGGTTTCCAGCCATTTCCAGCCTGGTCTTTAGCTGATCAGGCTGGGAGATGATGACCACCTAAAACCAGCTTGACTAGCCTAGCCAGGCTGGGAGCCCAGCCAAAACCAGCTATATCCAGGAAAAAAAAGACTTTAGTGTTGTCACCAATCGGTACTGAAACCTAAAAAATGTCCATTTCTCAAAATTTGAGTGCTGTTAAGCGTATACCTAAACACCATTGGCCATTGTGTTCAAATTCTCAACAGAATTTACATAAAGAGATAAGATACAGGGACACTGAAGCATTTCAAATCCGCAAATATCAGTTGATCTATCAGCAGATTGCACACGTTTGCTCACAGACAGACCAGCTGATTGATGCTGTTTTGAAAAGCTGCAGTGTCCCTGTATCTGTCTTTGCACTCTGTGAACAGCGGTGAAGAATGGTGAACTCATGACCTTACCATAGCCAATCACAGTCCTTTCTGTTGAACAGGTAATTACAATGGCCAATTAGTGGTGTTGAAGTACGCACTCAACGATGCTCAAATGTTAGCAGGAAATGGACGTTAAAATTTTAGTACTAACTGGCACCAAATTTCCAGTATTGTGACAACACTAGACTATAAAAATCTATATTATTATGTGAAAAGAAAGAAACTTGAATACTGTAGGTCTTGAACAAGCTAAGGGTAAGTAAATGATGAAAGAATTTTCATTTTTGGGTGAACTTTCATTAAATGGATGAAGCCTCTGCAGCCATATTGTGCATCCTTAACAACACTGGACTTCAGGTTCAAAACTAATTTTAACATACTAATTCAGAAAAGACTAAAATCTTTGTCACATATTGAATCAAAGAATCAATTCAATCACTGATGTAATTTTCAACTTGAATTGAATGTGCCCTACCAGCGCTTAAACTCTTTTTAGCTCACAGAAATGGTCCAAATCCAACAGCAACACTGTAACTATAACTCTCTTGTGGTGACTGACACCTTTAGTTATGGTTTCTAATGAAAGGTCAAAATAAATGAGAAGCTGTGAGACTGAAAAAATATATTAATATCCCGTAAATCACTGACATTGCCATCTGGATGGAATTTGATTTCTCACAGGAACCCAGAGTTATCTGAGAAACACTAGGTAATTTTCTCAGTAATTTGTCCCGAGGTTGTGAAAGAAAATCACTGATGTGTTTGATTCAAATGAGACAAAAATCACTAAGTACATCTGTGAAACAAGCATTTACCCAACCTCCTGCGGGAAAACCTGTCCAGTCTGAATAAGGCTCATGAATGCAAAAAACGCGGTGCTGTTGGAAGCGTACTATAATATAAATAAGGGTTAAGTGAGGGGCTCACCGGTGAGGTTGGTACGGGCACTGTAGGAGCCCAGGTATCGGCTGTCTGTGTTCGGGGTATAGCACTCATACATGCCCTGGTCAGTGGCCTGCAGTTTAGTGATGTGCAACAGGACAGAGTCTCCGCTTAGCCTCTCGATGTAGATGTCCTTACTGTTGACACGTTGGGCATACAAGGCATAGGCATAGTTGTGCTGGGACGTGCTCACGATGCGGATCTCTCTATCAGGAGCGGTGTAAAGGTACATGGACCACTCAAAGTCTTGCTCCACTCCTTCTTTGTAGCCAGTCACGTTACACCAGATGGTGATGTGAGAGCCTTCTGTTCGAATCAAGGGCCCCGGCTGAACTGTGACCTGCCGCTGGGCCGAGCAGGTGACCACTGTAAAAAAGACAGAAATCAGAGATCAGCAGTGGTCCAAAAAAAGTGACTATATTCAGAAAAAATATTAATATTCACATGCTTTCTGTAAATAAAGTGGCCATAGTTTTCCCTCAGTCTATACATTATAAGTAATATAAATATGACCAGAAATAAATGTAAATAATTTTTTCTGTAAAATGTGAATAGGGTAACTAAAGACCCGAGGTTTTAAACAGTGTAAGTACATTTTTCCTGCTTTACATTAATTACATATCTGATGAATCAATAAGTGTCTCTTATTCCTCAAAGTTACAATGTGTTGTACACAATTTGAACTCATAATTACAATAGACATAAAACAAGAGAGTATTAACAATAAACTTGACATATACGTAGCTTGAATAGCAGAGCAATTACACTTAATCAAATAGAAGGGTCACTAGATCTAGATCTGGTATATCTGTTCAATGAGCGGTCAATGATGTTAGAAAAGTGTGTGCACGAGTAGAACATGTAAACTTCGCACAGAAACGTTTACTGGCCTGATAAGGACTTGGATCAGTGACATTCTTAAAAAAGAGAGAAGGAGTAAGGGAGGAAGGGGGGATTCTTCAAGATATAGATAACTGAGGTGAAAACTGGTTATTTATAGTGAGTTATAATTCATCTGATTAGCATATCACATGTTAGCTGATTGCTGGACCAGCTGTGGTCAGTCATGAATACGTGATCCTCTCGAAATTAGTTTATAAATAAACCATACTTGGAGTTTGACAAGAAAGTTTTTGGTGGCTCTTACTTTGACATGTAGCAAAAATCATTAATTAAGAAAATGATTCTGTATAAATGTAGAGGTTTGCTCCATTGAATTGATTCTAATCTTTGTTATTACAGTAGATGGCGCTGTATGCTTTACAAATAGCCATGCTCTACTTGCTTCCAATTCCTTACAAATACCACTTGAGCCTAAAATATTCATTAATAAAGTTAGGAAAGGTCTAAGCAAATTACAACAGTGTTGATTGTGAGCGCTGTATAATCTCGTAGCATAGAATCCAATTTACATGACTCAGCAAAACACACAAGTGTATGGTTAAAAGCCAGTCTAGGGTGACATCTGCTGTTTAAAGCTCAAAATTGATTTAAAAGAGAAGAGCAATTTATTTAGAAAGTCTCAGAATGAATACAGCATTGATTTCTCAAACTTTTTTACCACAGCTATAAACTTTCTAGCGCCTAACGTTCTATATGTGAATATCAAACCCAAACTGCACGCACTATCAAACCAACCTGATTAAATGTTGATCTTAAATTATTGTAGCAAATGAATGAATGAATGAATGAATAAATGAAGTCATCTAATTCTGTTTTCACCATTTTAGCCAAACAGCAGATTCTTACAGTTTTAAAATGTTTAAATATAGTCTAAATATATTTCTATCATATCTGGTGTTGCATAATTTCTATTAGATGTCTACTCCTGCCTGATAAGAAAACCTTTAGGCTTCTCAGTGCCTGTAATTTATGTTTGGAGTTTGCAGTGTGTGAAGAACCATCAGCTCTTCAAGAAATAAAGTGGCCTTCAGCCAAGAGACCCATTACACAGTAAACACATCCACTCAATACAATCACCCTGAACTTCTGCCCCTTTGAGAAACGCACACTGTGTCTGCCACGATCAAGACTCACACTGAAAATGCTACAATTAACACACGAATGAAGGTCAAAGTGTGAGCAGCTCATAATGAGTTTATATAAACATACTCAGCTGAAGTCTCTTTTAAAAAAAAGAATGCATAAAAAAGAGCTTAGTAAGGGATCCTAAAACCAAAACAACACAGAAAAAAATATGTGGTCAAATTACACATTGCACGACCATCACCCCAAGAGAGCAATGATGAAATCATTAGATGGACAACTAAAAATGATCTTATGACAAAATAACTATTCTCCTTTGGAACCAAGCAATGCACAAGAACAAATATTAAAAACATCATAAATGATTTTGGAGCATTAGTGAAAGGCAGATACAGAACATTCTCTAGAAAAGCATATCTGCCAATTTGAATACAATTTAATGGGTTTAATGCTTTAATGTGGCAATTTTTTTAGCTCTGGGTACTCACTGTAAATTTATAAAGTTGTTATTTTCATGCTCAATTATAGGACACTGTGTTTGTCTTTATTTAATATGTGAATAATATATTTAGGGAGAATATTTATCCATAAGGATTTTGAGGGTGTGTATTCTATTTCATCAAATCTTACCTCAATGACCCTTATAAAAGTCTAATCTAAATGAATAAATACATGGCATTAAGTGTCTTAAGTTGTTATTCACATGCTAAATTATGTGTACGATGTACTATGACTTAATTGCTGAATATTGTTGGAAAGTGTACTTTTATTTGTGATTGTTTTATAGTTAATTCAAAGTTCAAAGAAAAAGAAGAAAAAAGGTGATTTTTTATTTTTGCTTTAACTAAAAGTTAGCATTAAAAACATGTTAATATTTAAACTAAATGATAAACTATATGAATTTGACCATATACAATGGAAACTACTGTAGAAATGCATTATATGTCCATTTTACAGTAAAATACGGTCAAAAAATGATTTTTCTTTTACTTTTTTTTTAAATGAACACAAAAAAAATTTAAATTAGTGACTTCAATAGTATTGAAACAAGTGAAGGGTGAGTAAATAGTCTAGCATTTTAATCTTTGTGTAAACTGTCCTTTTAAGACATGTGACTGTGAACATTTCAATATTTCAAATTTTAAAACATCCGGCCATAAGAATTTTTTTGTAACTTTAATAAAGATTAAATATACAATGAAGACTATGCAGTGTTGATTTTTCAATATCTGTACCTGAATAGTGAATCCCTGAAAACTATAATTAACTTTTATCTCTACTATACATTATTTATTTATGCTTGTAAATCACCTGATATTGTATTCACATTGCAATATACAGTACAGAAATACAAAATCTCGTCATGTCAGATTTTTTCGAATATTGTGTAGCCCTAATTAAGTATACAGATATTTATTAAACTAATTACCATGACTTTTCCAAAACTTTGTGGGTTTTTCTGTTTTTCCAAAAATGTTCCAGGCTTGAAAAATGCCATGTTCAAATTTAATGACTTTTCTAGTTTTTCCATGACTGTATGAACTCTGCAATTAATTAAATACCTGTAAGCTAAATCAATATCCCATAATACCTAACAGTGAATATTTGGCAACCACAGCTTGCTTTTTTATACTACAAATGTTACAGGGTTGTTTTTGAGCAAGGTATCAGTTGTCTCAGAATGGAAACCCCCACAGGACACATGAGCAGCAGAGGTTTATTTCAGAGGTTTTACAGCATCTGCATCTCTGAGACAGCGACAACACCTCGGCTAGAATAATGAGCGTTCTGTATACAGAGTGAAAGAAGTTAACCGAAACACAACCGTCACCCCAGCCTGTCCAATTCTGACAAAAAACGGTGGATGAAGGAAGACGAGTGTGAACAGTTGGAGTTGAGGGAACAGTGAGAAAGTCATTTCTTGGATGTCATTGTCCAATCTGTAACAGAAAAGAAAAAATACGAAGCCCATCTGCTGGCGCGTCCCGTCTGGAACAAGCCTGTGACAATGAGTGAGTGTGTGTGGATGAACAATCCCCTCGCCTAAGAAGACACGTCACTGATTTAATTACTTCTAAATATGTACACGCATCTGCATCTGTGGGCCGTCCTGTAGTCAACTAAAAGTGGCTTACATCACTATCTTTATTCATTTTGTTTCCTCTCGTAACCCATGTACACCCACACATGCCTGTTTTGCCTTATGCCATCCGCCTACACAGACAGACACTCAAAAAAAAAAAAACCCGGCAACGAAACTGCATCAATAACAGCTCTATAGAACAGTACCGGAAAGGTGGGTTGCTTGTCAATGAAAGTCTGATGTCACGTCGCATAGTATCGGAGACCAAATGTCAAATCAGATGGCAAAAGTGAACAACAAATGGCACTAATATATGCCCCCAGTGTTCTGTGATAATATTAAAAATCCTGATTGTAATGTTTATATTCATGCCTAATCTCAGATGGTCAGACAGTGATTCATCTTTCATAAATCAGTAAAATATTGGTGTCTGGGGGGAAAAAAGTGCAGAGACTGTAGTGAACACCATTATTTTTGTTAAAGATTCAATCGAAAGTCCTTGTGAAATCAAAAAACTTTTTAGATCTTAGTATGTTAGTCTTAAGAATATCTGTTAACCTCATTCCTGACTTACGAGCAGGCGTAGACATTTAGGATCAAGACTTCCGGTTTCATTTACTTTCATTAATTTTTAGATGTTAAAAACCATTATGATCAAATAATGTTGAGGTTTCAAACTAACTTTTCTTATTATATTAGTATACTTTTTATGTATAGACACGAACATACTGTAGAGCAAGTAGTTTCACCGTTTGCTGCCATTTGTATTCTTAGGGGCCGTTCACGTTTTTTTTTTTTTTTTTTTGCGTTGAGAGGCGCCTTTTTTGAATGGTTTACTAACGGGCGCAATCATTGTGCATGCTGCTTATGTGCCCTCCCCGCCTCGCGTTTTTGCAGTTGCACGCCATGCCTTTGCAGTTGAAATAAGTAAACTAAGCGGAAAAAGCGTGTTACATCAGTCGCGTCTTTTTCATTCTCCAATCAAATTAAAGCAGAGGCAGGCTTTCCGTTGATATGTCTGTAATGTTTGTGCTGTCAACACAACTACGAAGATTTTTAAAGATTGAAGAATTTAAAGAGACTTATGGTTGCTGTTTTGAAATATCCCTTGCTGTATGACTCACAAGTCTTGAAAATCACAATATCATTACATTTTAAAATTATATTAATATCAACAGCAACACTCGTGCACATTACACAGCTGATTCAGTTGTTGCGTACTGACATAAAAAGTGCACCACGCTTCTTATTTTTCTTGTCAAAGGCAGTGGGGTGCATCTTGCGTTTTTGGAACGTA